GGCCCCCGCTTTGTAGCCCCGCTGTGGTTGGGGAGGGGGTGTCTTTCTCCCCTGAAGCACGTTGTACCCCGTCGCCTGTTGGGTTTCAGAAAGTTTGAGCAAAGGACCGCCAGCGCGGTGCCACTGAAAAGAAACGACACGCTTCCGTTTCTAAGAAGGATAAGGGGTTTGTTTTTTGGGTTTTTTTTTTCCCCCTCTCTCCCCCGACGGGCGGTTGGAGCTTGAAAAGGGCATTGGAGGTTTTCCCCAGCCTCGGGGCACCGCCTCGGCAGCTCCCCTGGCCCCGGCACCAGCGAGAGAATGCGGGGGAGGCCGGGGAGGAAGGGAAACGGCAGGGCCCCGGGCCCCTGCACATCCCGGCCCGGAGGTTAGCCCAGGAGCCTGGCCAAATCCACCGCCCAACGCCCGCTCCCCGGCGTCCTGTTTCATCTACCCGGTCTCAACATGGCCGTTACTGTCTTACTTCTGCTGGGACGATTTCTCTGAAACGCACAAAAAAAACCCGAACCCCAAAACAAAATAAATGCGTAACGCAACATGAAAAAGAAATCCTGAGCTATATCCTCTTTTCTCAGTATTATTTTGCCCTCTTGAAAGTGACTGGGCTGTTCTGGACTATCCTTATTCTGTGTGACAGGGATCTGCCGACAGCCTTTAAGTTTGCATTTGTGGAGGAGGCTTCAGCACCGGCATTACTCTTCTCCCACGGGGATCCAGGAAGGGTTTGTGTCAAATCTAGTGTGACTCCTCTCCCCTTAACTTAGTTAAGGAACGGGAGCTCATGGGATGACGGAACCTTCCCTGGGTCTATTTGGTCTGATACGCTGTCTCCAGAACTGTGTGGTAACAGACATTTCACAGCAAGATGCAAGCAAGTTTGGAATAAGCGTGGATTTTTCTTTCCCTCGACTATTCCCTCACAGGCATTAAAAGTGAAGAAAGGTTAGAGAAATCCTTGAGAATGTCAGGGCTGCTAATAGTTGTTGTGTTCTAAAAATCAATTTTGTTTAATAGGAAAGGTTTAATTCAGCCTCAGCAGAATGGAATGGAAACTTTGCAATTTCCTACCACACAAGCCAGATCAAGCTGTGTTTTCTGTGCTCTTCTCTGCTGTGGCTCTGATAACCTAGTCTCAGAAAGTGACCTCTAAATAGCATCAGCAGCAAAAGGAGAAAAACCCTATCTGTGAGCGTGAACTTCAAATTTCACTTGGTATAATTCATGTCAAACAGCCTCTTCTAGAAAAAAAGTGGATTCAATGCAAAACCCTATTTAATACCATTGTATTAATCATTTGTTCAGCTACATCATTTGTTCAGCTTAAAAGTTAGGATTCCATCAGTCTTGTCAGCCCTGTTGAACATCTGTAATACTCTTTTTTTATACATTATATTATTTTTTATATATTAGATTATTTTTATCGTTAGATGGGCTGATCAGCAACAGATATTGAAAATATATGCCAAGGATCCCAAATTCACCCACCTTCAGTGCTGGTTTTACTCGGTTCTACCCGCAACTACCAACGGCAGCTTACAATATCAGTTAGCCACTGCAGCTCTCGGTTTCGTTCAGAAAGTAGTGTGCCTTCATCTTCTTCCCCAACTTCTGCTGCACTTCCTTCCCCCTGAAGCTTAAAACTCAGCTCCTCTGCTGCTTCATATGGACTAATCCTCCCCCCACACAAGGAATCCCTGCTTGCAACCCAGAGACGTGAGGACTGATGGTGTTGGGTGTCATGAGGTGCCTTGCCCAGCAGTGCACTTTTCTGTCTGTGCTCAGTCTGCTTGCAACCAGTCTGACTGAAACTGACTTCCACCACCAAGAGAGGCCAAAAAAGTTGACTCCAAACTGACTGTATGTACAGGTAGCCACAGCAGCCTCATCCAGACAAGTATAAACTTTAGGGTTTGTTTTATGTCTGTGTGGTTTTAAATACCACCAGCAGTACCAGCAAGTGCTCTATGATGCTCCCAGCACCCTTGAGGAACCTATCTAATATTGTAACTACAAGCTCTAAACCATCAAGACTCCAAAACTTTTATTCAGTTATTAAAATGTAAAACTGTCAGTTTACACTTGAGTAAAATATGAAGAAAAACACTTCTCCAAAAGCACACATTAATAATCTGTGGCCATTTTTCTGAAAATTCAGGCTGCTCCCATGCCTGTCATTCTACTACCACGAAAACACACTACCGGGTTAGAAGAGGACTATGGGATCCTGAGAGGTAACTCAGCGCATGCCCTGTCACAAGGCAGCCTTTGTGATATCACTCATGTACCTGATCCCTATCATCTAGCCTGTTCTTGAAGACTTCTGCTGTTGGCAACTCCACTACCTATCGTCTCCATTGATCTGATCCTCCAGTAATTCACTGTCTTCACCTTCTGC